TTGTTCTTTAATTGTTCAAGGGGCAACATAACATGATTGTTCGGCAATTTGATCTGGCCCTTCTCAAGTAAGAAGTCAAAGAGCTTATCCGATTTCGTGACATCAAAGTCATAGCTCTCCTCGACTCCTCTTCCCCTAGGATTTGGCACCATCACTATATTCTTGCCCCAATTCCATTCAGCTGCAGCAACCTCTTCTTCTTCATCCTCATAGCCGTCATCGACTGAGTATGGATCATAAGCTTCGGCTATGGTGGTACTTTTCTAGAATCGGGTATCTCTACGCATACTCTGGAATTGGCCATTGAGCGCTACTACTCGTTGAGCCAACTGACCCAAGTTATCAAACTCTTGCCCTAGCAACTTTTCTTTCCACACTGGCAGCATTCCCTGGACAGCTAAAGCAGCTAACTAAGCTCAATGAGAAGCACAAGTTCCTAGTCTCTCGGAATCTCTGAAGAAACTTAGTGCCCGATTCGTTAGTCCTCTGTTTCATGGTTGTCAAATCGGTTATCTTCTTTTCTCTAGTCCCAGTGTAAAAATATGTATGAAACTTCTTCTCCAGGTTATACCAATTGGCAATGGAGTTGACTGGCAGCGACGAAAACCAAGTAAAGGATGGCCCTGACACGGATAAGGAGAAGAAACGAACTCGATGGGCATCCTCAACTGATGCTTCGCCTAATTGTGTAAGATACCGACTGACATGTTCTATTGTACTTGCACTGTCTTGACTAGTGAACTTGGCGAACTCTGGGAGCCTATAATTTGTAGGAAGAGCGACCAAATCATATCACTCTGGATATGGACATTTGTACGAAAAGGTCAGCCCTTTTGGCTTCAGGCCGAACTAATTCTTCATCATCTCAGTCACCTTCAGCAGTAGCTCGTCAGCTTACGGATTTGGATTTCTTGGTACTTGCTGACCCATCTGTGGATTGGAATCCCATGTGCCTTGATATCCTAGATTTGGCATCAAGTGGAGAGTGTTGTAATCTATGCCATAGTAATACCTTTGTGGAATCTCAATCTGCTGGTTTGCTGCTTGAAGTCTTTGATTGTACCAGCCGATGACGGTATGTGGCCTGATGTGCCGAAATTAATCATCTGGTTCTGACTCTGTCCCGCCGGCTGTTGCACATGCTGTACTGATGGTCTAGGATTGTACCGTATCTGATTCGTAGTAGTACTTGGAGTTTGTTTAGACGATCCCTAAAGTGCCTGGACGTCATTATTACCAGCTAGTGTTGCTTCTTGATGGCTGGTACCGACTTGATTAGTCCCTTATGCCGACGGATCTGGAATGTTGTAACAAGCCGATCCAACCTGACCAACTGGAATTCCATGAATCGCCTCTTTCATGGTGTTGTGAAATGCATCAACGAAAGCTTCATTGTGGCTTGATAGGGCATCACGAACAGATTTGTCTATGGCTTCAGCAAAGAAACGTCTATCTTCAGCTTCGACTGCATCTGTCTGTCCCTGTAGTAGAACTCTTGATAGTAAACATTTCTGAATAATGGTGCTGTCACATGTTTTGGTGTAGGATAGCAAACACTTCTTCTGTAGCTTTGTTGACTGTATCCTTGTCTTCATCAGGTAGGTCTTCATAATGTACCATAAGGATGTTGTCGTTATTGTGAACTGCCATGACGATTGTGGTGTCCCACCGGGCATGCCAGAGACGTGTGTCGACACAGAATTTTCGTCTCCGTGTCGAGAACACACACAGCAAGCCAGAAGGGTCCGCTTGATGGAGCAGATCCGCCTAGCTTCAGCGCAAGGGTGGTCGATCCTGCGCAATCCTCCCGAGACGTGCCAGTCAATTTGACCCTGCAATTGACAAGGAGAGAAAGCTTATCAGTAATTAAGGGCGGAATATGCCGGTGTTGCCAGACAGTCCCGAATGTGCGGCTCTGAGAGCTGATATGAGAGGATATCGACTAAATAGTCGATTCCAGCATATTCATAAGAATAAATCGGTTAAAACTCATGGGGTTGTGTAAAAAGAATCGATTATCATTCAGGATAGACATAATTCGAGCAAAAATTAATCAAAGGCAATAAGATATCAACGATGATCGATTTAAACTGAGCCAATGATTATAAGTAACCGAACCCCTTTTTATATAAAGAAACAATTCAACGCCACTTAACCATTTAATAAAGATAAATCTAATGAACATGTTAGATCTTATCTATCGCCATAACCAGTGGGGCATGAGGCAGAATCATGCAGGCCGTAGAAATAACGACAGACTCAATGACCCTAACTCATTACTAATATCAGTGGGGCATGAGACAGAATCATGCAGGCCGTAATACAATAACAAGATCATGGGGCTAACATATCTTCAACTTATCTCTACTTCAACGGTCTCGTAACGTGAACTGCTCGTGAAAGCACTCGATATCGGCTAAACAGCCGATTCAGGCATAGCGCACAGTTAAGGCCATGCCTTCTCAGGAACAGATCTATCAACCAACGATCCCCACTCCACGGTGCTAACAGTGGGGTGAGAGGCAGAATCCCACAGGCCGTGATAACGGGCCATGAAACAGATCTCGTTAACTAATAGATCTAATCAAGATCGAACATGCCTTAACCGCACGCTATGCATGATTAAGATTGATGTAAAACAGCCGATAAAAATATAACTCATTGTTTAAGGCGTAGATTAGATTCGCAAACGATGGGCTAAACAAGATATAAGGCCGATCCAGATCAATCTCAATCGGGCAGAGTGATATTGCTGTAATTAGATAAACAATGAAAGCAATAAGCAATATCGGTAATTTAATGAATCTACCAAAGACTGTCATTTAAAGGTAAAGCCGATAAGTTGACCTTGATCTAGTTCAAGCAGTGGGGTGTGAGGTAGAATCACACAGGTCATACTTGAACTAGGCAAGAGTCGATAACTAGCCTATATCAGAGTCGCAGTGGGGGTCGATCGGATCGATGCAGCCATATGAACAGAGATATAAACCATGATGGTACTTATAGACAAGCAGTGGAGGTCGACCGAATCGATGCAGCCGTACTTGCTGAAGAACTCACCGAGATCTACTCTACTCCTACTCCTAAGCGGTGGCCGGAGCCGAAAAAAGTAAATTGACTTGTATTTGATTGATTAGATATCCCTTATAATAGCCGGGGCGTGATATTTATACCCGGAGTCTAGACATGAATCCTACTCGAGCACGAGTTGTTACAATCTTTGGCATAAAGAAATATTCCTATCTTAAGATAACTTGGACTCTAATATTTCTGTTTTTTAGAGTCCGATATGAATATTTTTGATGCCAGTCATATCCCAACATCGTCATCAGCTGACGTCATTCGAAAAGAATCGATCCAGTGTCACATTCGATCCGGCAGATATCAACCTTTACTCCATCGACTCCTTGATTGGCATATCTCTGGAAGCCTGCGAGTTTCCGCGTCCCTTCTCCTAAATTTTGGTGTAAACACTAATAAAGCCAACTAATGTCAACTGCCAAAGCGAAAAAAATACAGTACGGACATGACAAGCACGTACATATGTGTGGTAGTACTAGGTCGGGGGTAGTAAACCGGCGATCAAGCAAATGCATGTGTGCCGCTGAACATCGCGCGCGTTCAAGTTGGCGATTTAATGATGGTCGTCGAACGGCCGGGTCGTAGCTAATAAGCTCTTCTCGACTAGTCGACTGGCCAGTACTTTGCATTGCATTGTAAGCATGGTTGGTTCTGATTGTCAAAAAGGATACATACGCCGTAGAAAATGATGAAAAGTGGAAGGAAAAAACCATGCCTCCCCACAGTAAATTGGGTCTGTCTCCATTTCAGGTGCCCGCTATCCTGCTTGACCATCAGTCACCATCCTAATCGTCTTCTTCCTCGCGCTTCTTCCCCGTTTTCTTCCTTGCGCGCGCGGTCGTCGTCTTCTCCCTCTCCATGAAGGCGTGTAAATGCACGCACTCATCTGATTATCTGAGCATGCACGATGACCATCCACCAAAAGCCAGAAAACAAATTTGTCAAAACAAAAAAAAGGCAGAAAACAAAGAATCTGACGAAACAGTGTGGCATAGGTTGAACCGTCTAGGTACGTCGTACCTTTTTTCCATGCTTTAACAGAAATCACAGGACCCGTGTCTGTTTGTTCACTACTGATAGATATAGATAGAGACTTGGAGTTGGAGTACACGGTAAGGATCCACGCGAGGATCTCAGGGTGTCGTGGTCATGCATGGTACGTAGTCGTAGTCTACATAAAATTATACAGGTAAAGGCAAGGTTCGCGAGTGAGTCAGACGCGCGCGGCTACATACATACTCTTGTTTGACCTGCAAATGCAGCCGCGCTCTCGCATGCATTAATTAGGATAGATATATGAGCACTATTAGACCCAGACTATTGATTAATTAGTTGATCACTAGTAAACAAGTCATCCAAGTTTTATCAACAATAGATGGATGTACAAGTTTTATCCTCAAGAAGGTCGATCAGCAGTGAGAGCCTGCGTCAGCTCACTCGTCAAGCCGTGTACGGACAACGGATGGGGGGGGGGGCTTCGATCGATTCTCTTCTCTATCTCTAAAGGGTTATATATTTTGATGAATCTTCGGAGCATGCAACTGATGATTCGATCCGGTGCTTATATTGGACCTGCGACTGAAATTAATAATTAATGTCGCCATTGATGTTTAGTTTACTCAACTATCGGTCGTCGGTCTTCATTTGGTCTTTGAGTTTCATTTGCTTATTGCTACTATACTTAATTACGAGTTAAATGCACTAGCGGTCCTTAAACTTGTAAGGGCGTGTCACCTATGTCCATGAACTTTGAAAATTCGTTTCTGGGACACTAAACTTGTTAAGTAGTGCACCGCAGGTTCGTACCAGCCATACAAGTGTTTCTTCCTGACGTGGCATGCCAATATGACATGCTATTTTATATTTAACCCTTCTCATTCCCTCTTCTCATAGGAATGGATCCTTGTTTCTCTTTTCTCTCATGCTAACTCCACCTCGTCCAATGCCATGGTTGTCCACGGACTACAGTCACCATAAGAGAAGCAGGAAGCAAGGAGAACAAATGCCTGTCCGTGAGACAAGAAGAAAGAGGAGTGCTTAAATGTAGAAAAAATATGACACGCTGATATGCATGCACATGATCAAGAAACTTCACATGGCTTTGATGGACTTATGGTGCACCACTTAATAAGTTTAAGGACCCAATGTATTTTTAAAGTTTACGGACATAAGTGACACACCCTTACAAGTTTGAGGGCTGCTAGTGCATTTAACTCTTTAATTATTTTGAGATACGGCTTCCATCCCATTGAGGGGCTTCCTATAATCAATATTGCTTGATTAGGGGCCTAATTTAGTTGATTGAAGGACTCCCCTTATTAATTATTTACGTGAATCAAGTGCCAAAGTTGATAAAAGTGTGCGGTGGAGTGCATTCAACTTTATTTGTTATAATGATGAGTTGTACCGAAGAACTGCTAAAGACTTGTTGCTGAAGTGCTTAAGTGATGGTCAAGCTAAAGTGGCTATGGGAGAGGTTGATGAAGGCACGCATCTGTGGTACGCATCAATCTACTTCAAAGAAAAAGTGGTTATAACATCGTTTCTATTGGCCCACTATGATTGCCGTTGCTTTCACTAATACAATGGGTGCGAAGAGTGCCAATGGTTTGGTAATATTCAGTTGTTTCCTGCTGCGTTGATGCATCCTATTATCAAGGTGGTTTCAAGGTTGGGAGCTAGATTTTATTGTCCAAATTCATCCTCCATCGTTAATGGGACATCACTTCATCTTGGTCACTACTGATTACTTCACAAAGTGGACCGATTTGTTTCTTTGAAAAATATAACACATAAGGATGCGATTGAGTTTATTACTGAGCGTATCATATATAAATTCGGTATCCCTCAGACATTGTTTACAGATCAAGGGACCTCTTTTGTGTCAAACAAAGGACGGGATTTTTGACGAATTGTATAAAATTAAGTTGCTCAATTCATCTCCATATTATGCTCAAGCTAATGGCCAAGCTAAATTGAGCAATAAGACTTTGATCAAGCTTATCAAGAAAAAGATTGAAGACGATCCTGGAAGGTGGAATGAAGTTTTGTATGAAGCTCTGTGGGCCCATCGCTTAACTAGACATAGTGCCACTAAGGTCACTCGTTTTGAGCTGGTGTATGGGCAGGAAGCCATGTTACCGGTCGAAGTGAATTTGAATGCATATAGATTAGCAAAACAAATGATTATCTGATATAATGTACCATGATATGATAATTCACAATATTGATGAGGTAACCTATAAAAGAATACAAGCTTTGAAGTATATTGAGAAAGACAAGGCTCAAATGGTCACCGAGTTGGAAAACAATTTTACCACTTGGGACGAAGAGCAACAAGTTTGGCAAATTGTCACCGAGCTGGGAAGGTCCATTAAAGATGATCAAAGTGATATTTGGAAATTCATACTTGCTGGAGACATTGCAAGGTGATCGTCTCCCAAGAACAATTAAAGGCCATTTTGGACATGTTCCCCTTCGGCCATAAAACTCTTATTATAACCAGCATTACCATCAAACAAACTGATAATGCGATGTCTTAAAGCATCATTAATAAGCATATCGGCTATAGGCATAGGATATTCATCTTTCAAATTAGATATATTAAGATCTCTAAATCAATACAAACTCACAACTTTTCGGTGTCTTTCTTCTCAATGGGTACAATATTAGAGACCCACGCCACATATTTGCATGGCTTAAAGAAATCCGCTTCCAACAACTGATTAATTCCTTCTTTAGTGCAGTTGTATATTATAGAGTTGAAACTGCACATGTGTTGTTTGTGAGTCCTAAACCCATGTTTAATGGGAAGCCGATGCTCAACAAGCTCGCAGCTCAATCCAGGCATCTCAGTATTATTCCATGCAAAACAATCAACATATTACTAGAGAAGCTCGATTAACTTAACTTTATAATCGGCTTCCAAGTTTTGGTTTACAAACGTCAACCTTGGGGCCATCCCCATTAATACCAACCTTTTTCAATGGTTCAGGCGACGTAAAACCTTGTCCTATTTTATTAAGTTGAGTAAAATGCACCGGAGGTCCATTAACTTTCGTTGGGGTGTCATTTAGGTCCATCAACTTAGAAACTGTATTTTTTGGTCCATGAACTTTTAAAATGGTTCACGCCAGGTCCTTGCCATTTATTTAACCTTAAATTCAACGTATATTTGCAGAAAACTCCCTACTTTCTTTATCTTCTATGCGCTCAGACCCTTCCTGCTCAACGCATGCATGCACGTCGGCCGGCCTCGCTCTCTCCCGACAGCGCAGCTGCACCGAGCTCCCGCTGGCCTCTGCCCAGCTCCACGGAGGCGTCGCCAGCCTTGGCCACGTGGATCTTGGGGCCGGCCACCATCTCCGGCTTCACGGCCTTGTCGAGGAACGGCCGTCGCGTTCTGCACCACGCGCAGCGCCGTCAGACGCACGCCCGGGTGCTTCGACATCAGGGACGCCAGCGTCAGGGCCTCGCGGTCGTCCGCGCCGCCGATGAACACAACCACCACGGGCGCCGTCTGGGATTGCTGGGACTGGGAGCTGGTGCTGACGACGGATGCATGCTTCCCACCGAGGCCTCGGTCCACCACCACCCCCACCGAGCACGGCGCCAGCTGCAGCACCTTCTGGTTGACCACCCGGAAGCCGTGGTGGCCCGGCTCCATGCTGCCGTCCGATCGCTGCGCCTTGTGGAACGGGAGCAGCACCAGCGCCGCCATCGCGTCCTCCGCGCAGATGCACATGTCGCTGTGCATATCCGGGAACGACGACAGAGCCAGCAGCCGCCGCACCTTCACCTTGGCGCAGCCGCCGCACTCCGACTGGTACGCGTCCAGCGCCTCGCCGATGAGCTTCCGCATCTCCGACACCTCCTCGTCCACCACGGTCACGCCGTCGAATCTGCCGCCCTTCACGATGGCCGCCGCCGTCTGGTCCGTCATCTGCACCATGTCCACGGCATACAAAGGCGAGCTCGCGTCCTCCTCCCGCGCCACCGCCCCACCGCAGCGCCTCCATGATGTAGGACAGCGTCGGTACGTCCTGCGGGCCGTGTAGCCCCACCACGAGGCGCAACTCCTTGGACGGGTCGTGGTGCTGCAGCCCCATGAGCCGCCACTGCACGCTCATGGGCGTAGTAGAGGTGGAAGTACCCCTTCATGTTGAGCAGCATCCCCAGCGCCAGCGCCTCCAGCATCCCCAGACCTCGGAGGAGTCCCGCCGCCGCGCACCTGGTGAGCTTCCCGAGCGTCCCCATGACGGTGACGAAGAAGACCTTCCACCACGGGAACGGTAGCTCCATGACGTCGTCCGTGGTCTGGCGGAGCGACAGGCAGACGTGGGCGACATAGAGCGGCAGCACCCGCACCCTCACGAGCGCGGCCGCTGCCAGCAGCGCGTCACCAGAGATGGACGGGAGATGGGTGGGGTGAGCAGGAGTGTGGCGACCGGCCACCGCTGTCTGTATCGTGTCTGTCTCGTGTCTCGTGCGAGCACCCATGCAGTGGCCACCCATGCCACGGCGCCGAGAACCCATGCAGCGCGCGCCTGCGACACTTGGATGGGGGCGTACACGTCACCAGGGGGCCATCCCATCGCCCACCAGCGCGACGGACGCTAGCCCTGGCTGGTCTCCCTCTGCGGGGCCGGCCTGCGGCGACGCCGCCGCGTGGCGTGCTACGTGTGAGGCGCCGTGGACGGGCACAGGCCCGCGGCGAACGGCGCGGTGGCCTGCCCTGCATCCGGCGTTCCGGGCTGCATCATGTCGTCGGCGTCCACCGGCGGGGCGCCTCCTCCTAGGGACGCGACGCTGGGCCGGCACATTGCGCGGTGCCTGGTGCAGGTGGGCGTGAGCGACGTGTTCGCCGTGCCTGGGGACTTCAACCTGACGCTGCTGGACCACCTGATCGCGGAGCCCGGCCTCCGCGTCGTCGGCAGCTGCAACGAGCTCAACGCCGGGTACGCCGCCGACGGGTACGCGCGCGCCCGCGGCGTGGGCGCCTGCGCCGTCACCTTCACCGTGGGCGGGCTCAGCGTGCTCAACGCCATCGCCGGCGCCTACAGCGAGAACCTGCCCATGGTGTGCGTGGTGGGCGGGCCCAACTCCAACGACTACGGCACCAACCGCATCCTCCACCACACCATCGGCCTCCCGGACTTCTCACAGGAGCTCCGGCGGTGCTTCCAGGCCGTCACCTGCCACCAGGCCGTCGTCAACAACCTGGAGGACGCGCACGAGCAGATCGTCAGGGCCATCTCCACGGCGCTCAGGGAGAGCAAGCCCGTGTACATCAGCGTCAGCTGCAACCTGCCGGGACTGCCGCACCCGACGTTCGCGACAGACCCAGTGCCATACCTCCTGGCGCCAAGGTCGGTCGGTCGTTGTTAATTGCATTGCGTTAATTATTGTTCTTTGTTAATTAGTTGAGAATGAATGAATGAATGAAATCATTGCATAATTTGCATTGCATGCATGGGCTGCTGCAGGCCGAGCAACCTGATGGGTCTCGAGGCCGCCGTCGAGGCCACCGTTGCGTTCCTCGACAAGGCCGTGAAGCCGGTGATGGTGGCCGGCCCCAAGATCCATGTGGCCAAGGCTGGCGACGCCTCCGTGGAGCTGGCAGAGGCCAGCGGGAGCTCGGTGCAGCTGCGCTGTCGGGAGAGAGCGAGGCCGGCCGACGTGCATGCATGCGTTGAGCAGGAAGGGTCTGAGCGCATAGAAGATAAAGAAAGTAGAGGGGTTTTCTGCAAATATACGTTGAATTTAAAGTTAAATAAATGGCATGGACCTGCAGTGAACCATTTTAAAAGTTCATGAACCAAAAAATGCAGTTTCCAAATTGATGGACCTAGATGACACCCCAACGAAAGGTAATGGACCTCCGGTGCATTTTACTCTATTAAGTTCATCAAAACCGTCAATATCCTCACAGACATCGGTCTTAGAAGTCCAATACCGCTCAACACGATGTTTTAACCACTCTAAATTAGAATCCACTAGTAACTACATGATGATATTGAGCCAATTATTAATCAGCTTCAAATAAACAGGTACAAACCTCTCTCTAGTGACACTAATGATTGAAAATCAACAAGGTTATGCTCAGACAAACAGGCAATACCATCATGCCCCTGATTGAAGATTGGCCATGGCAACATGGGCTGATGAGTGTGCGTGAATGATCTCCGATTCACTTCGTTAGCCACCCACAAGATGAGGAACGGGTGCAGACCGGAAGGAACACACTAATTGACATGGACCCAATCGCCCCTGAGAATTAAGTTGTAGCTCCCTTGCACTTATGTAACAAAGGAAACAGTTTATAATGTTTTGCTCCTGATGGTGAACACACCATCGAAGCAACCTCCCTTGGCCGGAATTAGCTCTCCTCTTGCAATGCCGCTGATCGTCATATTAGTCTTGATCAACTCCTCATCCGTACAGACAACAAAAACAACCCGTTGATGTTTAGCTTTTCCCTTATTTTTTCAATGCTTCGGTGAGCACCACCTGCACGCCTTTTCTGATTCCTGCTGGCTTTTGTGTTGTGTCCGCGGACACGTACGTTTGAACACAAGTACACAGCCGCGATGTTGATGTTCAGCGACGAAGCGCTGGGACAAACCGTGCGCGCCATAGATTTCTTCCTTCAAAACAGCACTGTGTCACGCACACATATATATTCAAAATTTCAAATGCAGAATCAAAATGGACCGAGATTTTTCCTCACTGTATATTCAAAATTTCAAATGCAGAATCAAAATGGACCGAGATTTTTCCTCACCAAGGAGCGTACGCTTTCACACGTACGTTGTTGCCAATTGCCGCTATAAATACTCATCCCCGGGCATTGTATCACCCAGAGTACTGTTCCCTGATCGTTGGTCGATCTAGCTTCAATTCATTCGTCGGCGGAGGCTTTGATGAGCGGTTCGCTAGCGGCGCGCCTCAACGCGTCAGCGGAGGCCACAGCCACCACCGGGAACAGCGCCTCGTCGTCGGCGGAGGTGCGGCGGGTAGAGTCGTCCGCCGACGAGGCGGAGGTGTCCGGCTGCGTGAAGGCGCCGCCGCCGTACTACGACGTGTTCATCAACCACCGCTGGGTGGACACCAGGCACACGGTGGCGCGCCTGCTGCACGACCGGCTGCTGCAGCTCAGCGGCGGCCGGGTCCGCACGTTCCTGGACAGCATGTCCTTGCGTCCGGGGGACAGGCTGGTGGAGGGCATCAACCATGGCATGAGCCAGTGCAAGGTGGCTGTGGCCATCTTCTCCGAGCAATACCTCGACTCCGAGTTCTGCCTCCATGAGCTCGCCGCGCTGGTGGAGGCGCGAAAGGTGATCGTTCCCATCTTCTACGGCGTCAAGCCCTCCGCGCTGGTCCTGCCACAGGCCGTCGTCGACACCCACGCGCCCCGTGACGTCGAGCGCTTCAGGGTCGCGCTGCGCGAGGCCAAGTACACCGTTGGCCTCGCCTACGACCCAGCCACAGGGTATGTAACGCGCCGACCTGACCTAGCTACTCCTAATAATCTTCTATATATGGGTCCATGCACGCGCCATTGAAATTCTCAGAGCTTGCTCTGACCTCTGCCGCTCTGCGAGCATTGTTATACACGCATGCAATAATAATATAATTAGCTCGGAACTAAGGGATGTGCTATACTTCAGTCGCCTCAAAACAGGCTTCGTCTCAGGCGATGGATTCCAACGTTTGGATGAACATCCGATGGTCACTATGTTGTCTTCTACCTCAGGTCGGACACCGTTCTTTTTCCCAAAGCATGCGACCCCACCGTCGTCGCCGCCGCTCCCCACCGCGACGTGGTAGGGTCTCGCCGGAGCGGCCGTGGCCACGAAGCTCCGGCAAGACCCTACCGCGCCCGCGGCCGCTACCTTCTTTCCCTTCCCCCTCCTGCCACCGCCACAGCCATCGTCGCCCCTGCACTGACCTAGGCCGACTGCCTCCTCCATAGCCAGAACCCTAATCGCCGGCCTCCCGCCGTCCCCATCGCCTGACTGGCCTATCTCCCGCGAGGCCCTTCTAAACCAGCCGGAGTTGGGGAAGAAGAGAGAGAGAGAGAGAGAGAGAGAGAGAGAGGGCGCTAGAGTTGGGAAACCCTAGCCATGCCACCGTCTTCTTCGTCGAAGCGGGCGCGTGGGAGCGGGTCACCTGAAATCGGTTTCAGGCACTGAAGTATATATAGCAATTGTGCGGAACTAATTATACTTGTCCAATAATAGATAGGTGGGGAAAAGGGATTTGCTTAGACCACAGCAACAGCATTGTAAATAAAAAGAGCTGTCTCTTAGAATCGTTTTCTATTATTAATGGTGATCTCTGGATCTGCATGCAGTGATTTGGCCGAGCTGGTGTCAGCGGCAGCGAACGCGGTGATGCAGAGGATTGAACAAATTGAGAGCATGCGATGACGATCATTCCCACTTTAATTTCCAGGCAGTGATTTCGAAGACGCAGTTTTAACAAATAATGACAGGCACATCTGTAAACGCGGGAAATAAAATTGTAATCATGTAATGTATAAACAGATGATTCTTTACACAAATCTGCTATACGTCTCACTGCAATGTCAGTCGTTGCATGGCGGAGTTGGATTCAGACGTTTTGTCTCTCCTCGCCCATTTTTCTCGCTTTGGCCTCTGGGTCTTACGCGTGTGTCGGTGTGCACGCGCTTGTGCACCTACGTATGATTCATGTCGTTGCTCTATTTCTTTTTCTTTCATGATCAATGCATCTGGATCGAACTACTTGAACGTAGCTATATGGATCGTTTCAAAAAGTAGTATATTAGGTTTTACACTTTAGCTTCTTTGTCACGACAATGCATATACCAGCTACATTACGTGTATATAACTACACATATAGTACACTACGACTACATAAAGACACACTACTGCCGGCAATTTCAAAACTGGTAGCGATATAACTACTTGCTTCGATATCACTGCCGGTTGTGGTTAAAAACCGACAGTGTTTTTTCGCAAAAAAAAAAACGACAGTGTTATGTGCTCAGTGCTTTAGATCCAGAATTTCATTTAATTTCTGTTGAGTGCGTATGTTTTCGTCCGCAACCCATTTAATTCTGACTAAGTCCACCCACGCATTCGCATCCTCTCTTCTCCAAGATCTTTTCCTCACTCCCTTCTTCTGCCTTTCTCTCTAGCACTGCTCGGTGGTAAAGAATCAAAGGGCACGATGGCCATTGCGGCACATCATGGAACAGGGGACAGGCACACAGCGACAGCGAGCTCATCAGTGCGGGCGGGCCCGGTAGCACAGGGCGGCGGCGGCAAAGCCCGGCCACACCCGGGGCTCCAAGCTTGACCGCACGGGGCAGTGATATGGTGACATGTGTGGGGCTGCACGGGGCTGCTGCAGCGGTGCGTGTGGGGCGAGGGCATGTCAGGGTTCAAGATGAACCCTGACGATAACTGAAGAGAATTGGGGAAAATCAGAAGATTCAGAGGAGAAATAGCAGGAACAGCAAATTCAGAATGGGAAACAGATGGACAGCGGACAGGATTCAATAGCGAGAAACAGAATTCGGTTACAATTGTTGCCTCTCTCAGTTCCTGAATCGAGTACTTATACTATTACATGGCATTAGGGCCCACCAAACAGGCGCACCACCTTAACCGCCTGAAGAACCTCCAGCCAGGCTCTGAACCGGCCTTCTCTCCTATTGTCGGATCAGCTACAGGAGCGGCCTTCAGTTTCCTGACAGGGCAATGGTTGGCTCGGTGCTGCATCGGCTGCGGTTGTGCAGGAGCAGCGCTGCGAGCCCGGCGGCCGGGCAGCGGCGGCAAAGCCCATCGATCCGTGTGGGGATCCAGGCCTGGCTGTGTGGGTTGGCAGTGCCAGCAGACATGTGGAGCTATAGGCCTATAGCGGCGGCGCCTAGGGTGAAGGCAGCAGTGGGGCCTGGTGGTGCGTCGACTGTGGCCGCACGGCACGGCGAGCCCGTCGGTGGGGAGCCACGACAGGGTGCTCTGAGTTTTTTTTGGAAATCTTCATCACTGTTGGTTTAAAGCCCAATTAACAATGATAACCTCTGACCTTCAATGCAGATGATGCAGTGCCGGTTCCAAATCCAGCAGTGAAGGTGCTTTTGGAATTGGCGGTGATTCCTAGTTTTGTAGTAGTGTACTGTACGTAGCTGCAGCCTTTCAAAGAAATAGTCTCATGTTGCGTGTACATTCTCACCACGTATCAGGTGCATGTGTTGCTGATCTTTGTGCTGCTGGCTAGGCTCGATCTTGTGTGTTGTGTATTTTATTTGAACCATCTCATCGTTTGAACATCAACTCACCTTATTAATTTTACATTACTAAAATCAATCTAGTATGGAGTGTAATTTGATCGATGGAAAAAGGTTTAGTTTTGTTTGAATGACTGTACTATCTATAGGGCAGTCATATTATGTATTGTACTTCACTTAAAATAGTTTCAAAATTTTAAATCTATTTACAAATTTAATACTTCAAATAGTATTTAGTTGTCTATCATGTCTCCCACTACCGGAAACAGCAGATTTGCCGAGTGCAAACATGCTTGCTGAGTGCATTCTATCGGGCACTCGGCAAACAAGCTCTTTGCCGAGTGCTGCAAAAAATACACTCGGCAAAATAATGGCACTCGACAAACAAACTCTTTGCCAAGTGCTGAAAAAAAACACTCGGCAAACTAAGAAAAAACACTCGGCAAAACAGAGACACTCGACAAAAAACCGCCACGTGGACATTCCGTCAGTTAGTGTGTCGGCCGTTAGAGTTTGCCGAGTGTGCGTTAGTAACACTCGGCAAAGAAATAAGTTTGCCGAGTGTTCTTTCCAGCACTCGACAAAGAAATAAGTTTGCCTAGTGTTTTTTTTCACTCGGCAAATAAATACGTTTTTGTCACTTCTGGCCTTGAAACATGTACAACATGTGGTACTCCATGTTAAGATTTGGTATATTTCTGGATCTGTTTGCTATATTTAATTAATTTATTGTATTTCAAGGAATTTTTTGGTATAAGTCAAATTTGAACGGCAAGTGATTCAAATAATAAAATAAAATGAGTAGAAAAATGATATTCATGTTATTGAGTCCGGTGTGAGGCATTATCCAAGAAATGAAAAGAAATTTCGAAGACTTGTTCAGGAAACACAATCACGAACGTATGGCCCAATGGTTTTTAAATTTTAAAAAAAACAAACGAAGTCTGAAAATCATGAGATTTGTCAAGTTCTCATGATATCATACGTGGAGGCTGTGGTAAAAATTTGAGAAGGTTTTGCACAATCTGTCATGTACGATGTTTACAAACCGAAGTATCTCAGAAGAAGAATCATAGCGTTGAGAAGGATTCGGTAAGATTTAGAGTCAAAGTGGAAGTTGAATTGGGGTTTGACTTCAAAACTTTTTGTATAGGCAATAGAGAACATAGATTGTTTCATATGAAATTTTGGTAATTTTTTGGATCCGTTTGATAATTTTAATTTATTAAGTGCAATTATAGAATTTTAATTGATATAAATTGAATTTGAGCTATAACTGCATGAAATAATAAGTTTTTTTTTCTCTTCTAACCTTGAAACTTTTTCTACTCTCCACATACAATATGTGGTACTCCATGTTAGGATTTGGTATATTTCTAGATCTATTTGCTATATTTAATTAATTTATTGCATTTTAAAGAATTTTTTGGTATAGTCAAATTTGAACTTCAAGTGATTCAAATAATAGAATAAAATAAGTAGAAAAATGATATTCATGTTATTGAGCCCAGTGTGAGGCCTTATCCGAAAAATCAAAAGAAATTTCACACATCTTGTTCAGGAAACACGACCACGAACGTGTGGCCGAATGGTTTTTAAATTCTGAAAAAAGCAAACGAAGTCTAAAAATCATGAGATTTGTCGAGATGTCATGATATCATATGTGGAGGCCATGGTAAAAAAATAAGAAGGTTTCGCACAATCTATCACATATGATGTTTACAAACCGAAGCATCTTAGAAGAACAATCGTAGCGTTGAGAAGGATTCAGTAGGATTTGGAGTCAAAGTAACGGTCGAATTGGGGTTTGACTTCAAGACTTTTTGTATAGGCAATAGAGAACATAGATTGGTTCATGTCAAATTTTCATAATTTTTCGGATACGTTTGGTAATTTTAATTTATTAACTGCATTTATAGAATTTTAATTGATATAAATTGAATTTGAGCTATAACGACATAAAATAATTGAATAATATTCCTAGAAAAATCAAATATGCATTGTTGGGTGAATTTGACTAGGTATTTTCAAAGTATATTGGAACAAATTTGGTAAAACACGTTATGGAAAAGGAGAAGAAATATGCATGAAATATGAAGTTGGTTTGCCGAGTGTCACATAGGGGACACTCGGCAAAGTCCCTCACCTAGCCCCACCACGCACAGTTCTATAGTTTTCTAGCGTTTGGAAATTGGGAAAAAAAACAAAAGTGGTTTGACGAGTGCCCTCTATATGATAGTCGACAAAGCCTAGGTTTGCCGAGTGCTAGATCATGGGCACTCGGCAAACTGTTTCGATTTAGGGTGCGCTGGCCACCACCAGACACACACAACACACACCACCGCCCGTGCGCCCACCGCCGCCACCACCCGTGCGCCCACCGCCATCGTTTCACCGCCCTAGGAGCCCGCCGCCGCCGTTTTGCCGCCCCAGGAGCCCGTCGTTGCTATTTCGCCACCCCAGAAGCCCACCACCACCATTTTCGCTGCCCCAGGAGCCCACCGCCGCCGTTTCACTGTCCTAGGAGCCACCCAAGTCTCTCGCACCATCGGTCGCCTCCCGTGCATCCACGCCACCGACCGCCTCTATGCGAGTCCACGTCGCTGGCCAAGTTCTCTGCAAGTCCATGATGCCGGTAGCCTCCTGCAACATCCACTGTAGCAAGTAGGGCAAAGCTGCCTCCATGATGCCGGCACATCTTGGGTTTCACGGCCACACGTTGTTAGAGCCCTTCATGTGGACGTGAGGTACTACTGCTCTCTCTCAATCTCAGATCTAGATAGTAGTGGTGGCAATTAGTAGGTGTAATGCTGCTCTCTCAAGATTTGTAGGGGTGGAAATTAGTAGGTGTAAAGCTTTTGGTTTGATTTAGTGAATAAAAATCGATTTGCAGGAACTATAGTGACAACTTTGATTATTAGGCATTAGTGATACCTTAAGATCATCAGTTAATTGAACTAAAGAAGAGGATTTACTAGAAACTAAAGAGGATGTATAAGCTATGTATGTGGTTGTTGGCCATCATGCCGTTGGTTTGTTACAGGTTGTGGTTAGCTCACCATGCAGGGGAGGTGCTGCCAAAATTTATAATTGACACTATTATGTTCTTTTATTGCATGACAGGCCATTGCAAAGATCATTCCCCACCGTCCT